GAGTAGCTTAAGTAAATGTGGGACCCTTGGAGGATGTAACTGGTAAAATAATATCAGGGAAATGGCAGAGAAATAGCAGATCATTTAAACTAGTTGTTTGCATCAGTCTTCACAGTGGATGACACTGTAGATACCCAGAAGATAACAGATAAGCAAGCTGCTTATGGGAGGAGAGATTTTGTGACAGTTTCTTGTAGTGATTGTAACGAGGTCAGCTCTTCGAATAGGAGTTCCCTGATTTCAGCTTTTAATCTGGTCCAATCAGGAAGCCTTGGTTGACAGATAAAAAGGGTGTGTGTCAGAGATACCAACACTCTGATGCCTGACTGTATATGAGGCAGTGTTATAGTCAAGGACTGCTGATCTGTAAATAAAGGGTGACTTAGTGATGGGATACTGGCCTGTGTGGAGTTATTACATCTCTATGACGAGAGACAAAGTGTTTGACAAACAAATGGGACTGAAGGCCTAGTGGCCTGCACCCAAGGATTTAAAAGGAAGTGGCTGCAGAGATAATGTAGGCATTGGTCAAAATATTCCAGAACTGTTGGATTCCGTGAGGGTTCCAGTGGATTGGAAAACCGCTAATGTGACACCCATTCAAGTGGGAGACAGACAGAAAGTCGGAAACCAGAGGCCAATTAGCTTAATATTTGTCTTTGGGAAAATGCTGGAGTCTATTATTGATGAAGAAATAATATTTGTCTTTGGGAAAATGCTGGAATCTATTATTGATGAAGAAATAATATTTGTCTTTGGGAAAATGCTGGAATCTATTATTGATGAAGAAATATCAGGACATTTAGAAAAGTATAATGCAGTCACAGAGAACATGATTTTGTGAAAGGCAAATCAGGTTTGACACATTTGCTAGAGTACTTTGCGGATATAACAAGCAAGGTTTATAAGGGAGATCCAGCAGAGATAATGTATTTGGATTCTGAAGGCATTCAATAAGGTGCCACATAAAAAGTTCCTACAGAAGAAAGGAATTCACAGTATGGTATTGAGGGCATGTATTAGCATGGATTGATAATTGATTAACACACAAGATGCAGAGTCATGATTATCGGGTCCTATGCAAGGTGGAAAGACTTCACTAGTGGAATGTTACAAGGATCAGTGCTAAGTTCTGAATTATTTATTATCCGTGTTAATGACTTGAAGGAGGGGACAGAGTATAATTTATCCATATTTGCTGGCAATACAGAAACTGTTCAGCGACCATGTCACGATGAGGACATGAGGAAACTGAAGTGTGGTATAGAGAGGTTGAGTGAATGGGCATTAACTTGGCAGATGGAGTTTAATAGAACAAAGTGTGAGGTATGCACTTTGGTAGGGAAAAAAAATCAAAGAACAGACAATTTAAATGGAGAAAGGCTCCAAAGAAAGTACAGTACACAAGGGTCTGAGTGCATGAAACAGAAAAGGTTAGCATACAAGAGCAACATATAATTAAGGTAGATGGCATTCAGTCCTTTATTGCTAGGGGTTAGACGTTAAGAATAGGGAAGTTTCCTTACCCCTGGTGAGGCTGTACCTGGACAACTGTGTACAGCCTCAGTCCCTGTACTTAAGAAAGACTGCACTGATTGTGGAGACAATTTTTAAAAAATTCATTTTTGTGGATTCCTGGGATGAAGAGATTAACTTGTCAAGAACCGCTTTCATCTGAACTCCATCTACAAGTTTGCTGATGACACCACCATTGGAGGCCGGATCTCAAACAATGACAAGACAGAATACAGGAAGGAGAGAATGTTTGGTGACGTGGAGTAAAGGTAACCATCTTTCCCTCAGCGTCAGCAAAACTAAAGAGCTGATCATCGACTTCAGGAAACAAGGTGGAGGACACGCCCCTATCTGAGGTGGTGATGGTCGAGAGCATCAAGTCCCTGGGAGTGACAGTCACCGAAAATCTGTCCTGGACCACCCACGTTGATGCAACAGTCAAGAAGGCACAACACCTCTCCTTCCTCAGGAGGCTAAGGAAATGTCCATAAGGACCCTCACCAACCTTTACAGATGCACCGTTCTGTCTGGATGCATCACAGTCTGGTTCGGCACCTGCCCTGCCCAGGACCGTAAGGAACTACAGAAAGCTGTGAACACAGCCCAGAGCATCATGTGAGCCAGCCTTCCATCCATTGACTTCATCTACACTTCTCGTTTAACACAGACAGGCGGCTAACATCATCAAAAACCCCTCCCACTCCGGTTGGAATCTCTTCCAATCTTTTCTGTTAGGCAGATGATACAAAACCTTAAACACACACACCAACAGATTCAAGAACAGCTTCTTCCCCAGTTATTAGACTTCTGAATGGACCTCTCAAATTTCAAATCTAATGTTAATCTCGCTGTTTGTGCACCTTCTCTGCAGCTATAAATTTTTATTCCTCACTCTGTTCTATCACCCTAATGCACCTAGGTGCAGTTAAAAACCACAAGTTAAAATCAAATCAAATCAGCTAAACAGGTTAGGCCTTTATTCATTAGACTTTAGAAGAGGGGCAATCCTGTTAATACATACAAGATTCTGGGGAGGTTTGACAGGGCCAATGTTGAGAAGATTTTTCCACTGGAAGGCATATCCTGAACTAGGGATATAGTTACAGAGTAAGGAATTAGATCACTAGAGGTATCAAAAGAGGAGGCTGATAGATGTTTGAAATAAATGGGAAATTGAGGGCTGCTGGGATTTGGCAGGGGAGTTGAGACCTGAATGATCTTGTTGAAAGGCAGAGCAAGTTTGAAGAATGCTCGGACTGTGCTCCGTCAGCGCCGACCCTCCGACGGTGCGGCGCTCCGTCAGCGCCGACCCTCCGACGGTGCGGCGCTCCGTCAGCGCCGACCCTCCGACGGTGCGGCGCTCCGTCAGCGCCGACCCTCCGACGGTGCGGCGCTCCGTCAGCGCCGACCCTCCGACGGTGCGGCGCTCCGTCAGCGCCGACCCTCCGACGGTGCGGCGCTCC